TGTAGTATGAATATAAGCTTGATAAATACAGTTATATGCAAAGTACTTAAATTGAAGGTACTGTGAGAAGGAGGACACTCGTGGATGGCGAACCAGAAAAGGCTTCATGCACAAAATGGTGTCTGGGCTTCATCTTAAAGAAAGAGAAAGACTTAAAGGAAGATTGGCTGACCTTGGAATCAAGAAGATCTGGATTCAAATCCAGTTTCAGACATTTACTAGCTGTAATATTCTGGGCAGGCCACTTCATCTCTCTGGGCCTCGGTTTCCTCATATGTAAAATGGGAGAAATAATACCTGCAGCACCTAAATCACAAGGTATATCATCAGACAAAGTGTTCAGAGTGCTAGGGAAATGTAAATTGGTGTTATCATTATCATTTACCACCATGAGTGTCTCATTTCCTAGACTCTCCTACCAGACCGATGATTGGCTTGGAGGAAACCCCAAAGCCAAACCTCAGCTTCTCCCCTGAGCCCTCCCCACTGCCGCTGTGCACTGCTCCCTGGAGACTAACCCTGTCTTTCTGCTTGTCCTACCAGATCCTGAAGCTAAGGAGAAGGACATCACCAGGCGCTTTTCCCTCGCCTCCTCCCTTGGCACCACAGTGCCCACCCCCACTGGCCTTACCAAAGGTACTGGATGCCCCCTCCTGTCCTTATCCTGCCAACTATATTCCCCAGCACAGTGTCTCCGTGGCAGGGCTGCTAAGCTGGTGGTGAGAGATGCAGATGGATGGATGGATGGATGGATAGATGGATGGATAGATGGATGGGTGGATGGATGATTGGATGGATAGATGGAGAGATAGAGAGATAGTTGCATATATAGGTGAATGGATAGATATCGATATATAATTACATAGATAAATGACAAATGGATAGAAAGAGATAGGCAATTACTAGCTAGATAGGTGATAAATGATAGAAGATAGATAGATGACTGATAATTGCTTGTTGGCTGACAGATATGTAAACAGACTGATGTGTAAATAAATGATAGCTCTTTAGACAGATGATACAGGTAGAAAGAACATTTATTGAGCACTGCTCTGTGTTGGACATTATGCTCAGACATAGAGAGATGAGAGATGGAGCATTTATTGAATGCTTATGTTCCGCTGCTGTGCTAAGCTTTAGGTGCAAATAAGACATTTCCTGCCCTGAGGAGCTTACATTCCAAAGCGGACCTGAAAAGGTGGGAGGGGAAGGGGAGTTGGTAGAGAGACTTGTGGGTAGAAATTCAGTGGCAATGTCTGAGAGGCCCGACCTAGAGAGGGGTGAATGAGAGCCTACTCGTTTTCTTAGAAACCCTTCAGAGGGCTTAGGCTGATTCCACCATCAGAGGTGGGGAATCTGTAGTCTCAAGGCCCTTTGACTGAATCCAAACTTCACCGAATAAATCCCCTTAATAAAAGAATTTGTTCTGTAAAACTTGGACTCAAACAAAGGCCGCACCCAAGGAGCCCTGCACCATTAATAGAAAGCTCACCTGCAGTTCTAGCCAGCAGTAGGTTTACTGCCTGGCTGCCAAACCCACCCCCTCCCCATCTCTGAACAAAGGGTCTCCGCAAGTACAGAGAGAATGTGATGTGAGAGAACACTGGCACTGAAGTCAGAGGATCCAGGTTCTAATACTGGCTCTGCCCTCTTAAAGCAGAAGTGACCTTGGTCAAGTCATTCCCCCCTCTGGGCCTCAGTTTCCTTATCTGTGAAATGATGGGAGTTAGACTAAATCTGACAACCTCTGAGGCTCCTTCCAGGTCTAGATTTAAGCTCCTGCACATGTGACTTTGGACAAGCTCCTTCACCATCGTGGACCTCAGCTTCTTCCTCTGTAAAATCAAGGGGTTGGATTACACTGGCCTCTGTGGTCCCCTCCAGCCCTGGAACAAAGATTCCCCCCTCCCCTGGTCCAACATTCTGAGGACACTGACCTTAAGCTGCAGCCCCAGCTCTGCTCCGTCCTTGATGGTGGCAGGGGGTGAGATTTTTGCCTGGCCAATCTGTAAAATCAGGCTAGTGATGTCTCCTTGCACTTCCCTTTGTCTCCAGGCAGGCAGTTAAACTTGCAAATGTCTCTGTCGTGTCCTCAGGACTCCATACTGAGAGGCTTTGAGATGGGAATGAAATCACAAGCATCCTTGACTTCACAAGCATCTAATTTACTAGCCTGCCCAATTTACTTCCTCCCTAGTCCTGAGTCCTCTTGCCAGCTCTGTACTCATACCAGACAGGATCCTCATATGGAGAAGTCAAGTCAACAAGCATTTATCCAGCCCCTACTATGTGCCAAGTGGGCAGCCAGGTGGGCTGGAGTCAGGAGGACCTGAGTTCAAATTCAACTTCAGACTCTTACTAGCTGTGTGACCCTGGGCAAGTCACTTAACCCTGTTTGCCTCAGTTTCCTCCTCTGTAAAATGATCTGGAGAAGGAAATGGCAAACCACTCCAGTACCTTTGCCAAGAAAACCTCAAATGGGAACACAAAAAGTCGGACATGACTGAAATGACTGAGCAACAGAAATAGTCCCTTGCCCTCAAGGAGCTCACAGTCAAATGGGAGAGATAGCATACAAATAGCTATGTACAAAATAAGATATATTCAGGATAAGTTGGAGATAATCTCCAAAAGAAGGCTTCTTGCCGAGGATGGGACTTTGGCTAAGACCCAAAGGAAGCCAAGAAAACCAGGAAGGAGAAGCAAGGAAGGAAAGAGTTTCAGGTATGGGAGACTGAAAAAGGCCCAGATAAACATGACTGAAAGAGGATCATGTCCGAAATGAGGAAATAACCAGCAGCCAGGCCCTCTTCGTAAGTCGGAGGCTTCTGGTCCAGTAAGAGGCTCTTCCTGGGGCTGAAAGAACTTGTAGTGGTTAGAAGTGACCTGCTGGTAGAGGTGAGGAGAGGATATTCTAAGCAGGAGGGAAGGGCCTTCTCATGGTATAGAGGTAGGCATGGGATGCCAAGTTCATTGGTCAGCTTGACTGAATTGTATAGGAAGTTAAATGTGAAGAGGAGAGGTCCCAGGACTAGGGAGCAGGAGCTGGGTGATGGTCTAGCTGAGGAAGCTGAGAAGGAGCAGTCAGAAAGATAGAAGGAGAATCACAACGTCAGGAGATGTGGTCTATAATCTTGGCTTGAGTCTGGTAGAATGCTTAGCCTCCACCTCCATCCCAGGGGTGCTGTGGGGACCCAGAAACTTAGGATGCCTCCCCACTCTGTCTGACCAGAAATACAGGATAATATACATAGGCACCCTCTTGTACTGAAATTCTTCTGCATCCTTAAACTTCATACAGGTCCTCTCGGTCCTGCGGTTAAAGTCAAGAGACATGAAATAAAGAGTGACCCAACACCACTTGGGTTTGAAGGTACATGCATGATATACTGCATGAAGCCTCCCCACCCTTTCCTGTGCCCTGAGGATCAGCTGAGGAATGTGCATGTGCCTTCTTTCCTTGTCAGCCGGTCATAGCAAGCTCTGGGATGGGTGATGGACATCTGGGTGCCTCCAAATGATCATGCCTGCTCTGTGCGGATGGTGGGGAGGGAGGAGGAAGGGGCTGCGTGTTTTGTGCTGGATTTCTGATATTTTTCTTTCATTCACTTGTGTGCTGAGTTGGAAACTTTCCAACGAACTGGTCAACCTCAGGGTCTGCCCACCTGGCATTCTCATGAGCTGGAAAGTTGTTCTCATTTCAGATAAGACCATAGTGTAGATCAATGCCATCTCATTCTTTAATAGGGAGTTGGCTGGGGTGCAGGCAGGGTTGGTAGGCGGCAGAGGCTGAGTGGATGGTACTAATTCCTCCGAAGTATTGTAACTTGGGAGCTGTGTTCGAGAAGCATTCAGTGCCCACCACCCTCCTTAAACTCCAATGTACTCATGTACAAAGAGTCATCCCGGTCTCCATTTGTCTGCTTTCACCAAACCCCCATCCCTCCCACCAGAGTGGCAGAGATCCCTTATACCTCACCCTACCTTATGACCTGCTGGTAGAGGTGAGGAGGGGGTATTCTGAGCAGGAGGGAAGGGCCCTCCTGGTTGAGGAGAGAGTGCCCACTGGACCATCTGCTTACCGACATTTATAGGGCTCTTTCAAGCCTAGATGAGGAGCTTGTTAACTCACCATTCTCCGACCTCTTGTTTGATACTTTTGTGTCCCAAGTATAACTGTGCATTGAAACTGAGTGAAGCAGCTCGCGTCGAAGCACCTTCTCTGCGTCAGGCACTGTGCTACACGCTGGGGAGACAAAGAAAGGTCAAACAAAACAGAACACAAATGGAATAAAAGCCTCGCTTCCCTGATTGAAGCTGATGCGAAGGGTAGACAGAGACAGAGTCTGCATTTGTGCTGATCTGTTGACTTAAAATGGTCCCACTGGGCCATCTAGCTGACAGAAGTGGGAAGGGCCAAAAGTAAAGCAGGGCGTGATTTCTTTCCCCACCACCCCACCCCAGACCTAGATCTGCTTATAAAGCTTTTCTTAATTGGTCAAATTTGAGTTCACTGGTTTGGTATTGGTAAGCTTCAGCACCCCAGATTGTTAGTATCGCAATCCAAAATACCTGAACCTTGTGAAGCGTATGTGGCTTTGTCTAGAGTGAAAGTAGGTCAAGGAGAGAGAAAGACAGAGAACACTGCTTCTATTTGCCACCGTTGTGTATTCTGAGGTCAGTGTTTACCACCTAACACCTTGCCTTGTTTCTCCGCCCATTGCTGTTTGTGTTGGTGAATGCCCCAGAGCTGGGAAGGCCTGGCATTTTTTTTGTTTGCTAGTTTGTTTTAGCACGTGTCTGGAAGTTGGGAGGGATCATCCTCCTTCCCCTACCCACCTTTCCAGGAAGCAAACTCGATTTTAAAAGTTGGTGTGGCACAGGAGCTTGTGAATTTGTACTTGGTTTTCTGGGGGTTTGTTTCTTTTTCTTTTCTTTCTTTCTTTTTTTCCTGAAGGATTTCCATTACAAACAAAGTCTACTTCCTGTCTCAGATGCTTTTGAGAATTCCATCCTGGCCCAGGCCAAATGCAGTGGCAGGCCCACAAGAACGGTACCCAGATCTGCCTCCCAGACAGGTAAGAGCTCCTGTCTCCTCTCCGGCTCTTTATCCTCTTTCTCTCAGTGAGCTCATAGTAGACCCAACCCCCATGTCTTTGCAGATGCCACCCAGATCCCCATACCCAGGCCTCATCCCTCTGCCATAGATCTGTCCCTACATTACCGTTTGCCAGCTGACTGCCCCAAGTGCTCCTTAAGCTCCATGTGTACAAAATTGAACTCCTTATCTTTCCTCCTGCTAACTTCTCTGTGTCCATCAAGGGCTCCATCCCTCAGGTGAAAACAGAGGCATCATCCTTGGCTCTTCATTCGTTCTCACCCCCATATTCGATCAGTTGTCCAGTCTTATTGATTCTACCTCCTCGACCCCTCAGCATCCATCCTTTTCTCAGTCAGTCAATCAATAAACATTTATTAAACACCACCTATTAGCACCACTAGCACCTGATGCTATAGGGATAAAAATGTAAAACAGAGATGGTCCTTGCCCCCAAGGGGCTCCTGTTCTGCTAGAAGGAGACAGCATGTTCACAGATGAGTGCATACAGAATCCACACAAAATAAGCAAATCTAGGATGGAAGGAAGCAAGAAAGCCTCTGGAAGGGGATGGTTCTTGGGCTAAGCAACTGAAGGGATCTAGGGGGATAGTTCAGGCTGGCGTCAACTCTTCCCCGTCTTGTTGCGCTAACCTTCTAAATGGTCTCCCTGACCCTCTTTTCTCCAATGCTTCTTCCATGCAACCACTAAAATGAGACTCTCTCCATGTCACTCCCCCACTAGGGAAGTTTCCATGGCTCCCTGTGGCATCCAGGACAAAATGCAAATGCCTTTGTTTGACATTTATAGCCCTTCACAGTCTGCCCCTAGCCTACCTATCCAGGCTGATCACTCCTCTTGCCACACTCCATACTCCAGCCAAATTGGACTATGCAGTATTCCATCTCTCCCATTCTTGGAACGTCCCCCTTCCTCACCTGTGCCTCTTGGAGCCCGGAGCACCCTTCAAGGCTCAGCTCAACTGCTTTCACTTGCAAGGGGCCTGTCCTGATTTCCCTGGTAGTTATTGTATGTCCTCCGCCCCTCAACATCCCATCCAAATCAATCCTGTTCTCCATTTTTTATGTATTCTAATTTTGCTTATCTGTGAACAGGTTGTATCCAGTAGAGGGTAAGCTACTTGAGGGCAAAAACTAGAGTACCTAGTGTTGTTAAGGGCTTAATATCCACAAGCAATTATTAAGTGTTTACTATGTGCCAAGCTAGGTGGCTTCATAGTACACAGAGCACTGTGCCTGAAGTCAGGAACACTCCTCTTCCTGAGTTCAAATCTGGCCTCAGACACTTAGTGGCTGTGTGACCCTGGGCAAGTCACTTAACCTTGTTTGCCGCAATTTCCTCATCTGTAAAATGAGCTGGAGAAGGAAAGGGCAAACCACTCCAGATGGGGTCACAAAGAGTCAGACACAACTCAGCAACAGCACAAGAGAGTTTGGGGCAGGCTAGGTGGATTCTAGAACTGTCAGCATAGAGATTGTAATTAAATCCATGGGAGCTGATGAAATGACCAAATGTAGCAACATGGAGGGAGAAGAGAAGAGGGCCCAGGACAGAACCTTGAGACTCTTAGAGCGCGTGGTCTGGAAGAGATCTAGCAAAGAAACAGAGAAGGAGCAGTCAGATAGGGTAGGAAAACAAGCAGGAGAGATCTGTGTTCTTAGAGAGAAGAGGGCGTCAAGGAGGAGAGAGGGATCAGCAGTGTGAGAGGCTGCAGAGAGGTTGAGCAGAATGCCTTCCTGTAAGATGGAGACTCAGAGAAAGAGAGGTGGTGTGTTCCTCCTTTCTTCTTATAGGCTCGTCGGAACCGTCCTCAAATTTTAAAACCCAAGTCAAGCCCCGTTCCCTGGGTGAAGTCTTCTCACCCCTCACAGTGGTCATAGTGTAGTGGTCTCTCAATTCTTGGAGGAGTGACAGAGACAGAGAGACAGAGGGAGACAGAGAGAGAGAGAGAGAGAGAGAGAGAGAGAGAGAGAGAGAGAGAGAGAGAGAGAGAGAGAGAGAGAGAGAGATCAGAAGAATGCATGGGCTGGCTATGATTTGGTCCAACTTCTTTTTGATATTTCAGATTGTGACAGAAATTGGCTCTTAGGGAGTGGAACTACATGCTGGCCAGCCTGCTGCTGGCCGGGGCTCTGCTAGGTGACCCCCCTGCAAGCTCTCTGACTTAATTCTTCACTTTGCTTTCTTTTGCCAAGGCTGGCCCAGCAGGCAACTTCCTTCTCTGGACACTTTTGAGGATTTTGAAGTCATTCCCTCCAGTACAGATGAGCTCTCCAACTCTTCAGACATGGAAGAAGACACCAGCACCCATAATGTAATATTTTGCTCTCTTTCTTTTTCTTATATTCTTCATCACCTATCCTCCCTCCCTTCTTTCCTTCTCTTCCTTCCTTCTTCCTCCCTCTGTTCCTTCCTTATTTCCCTCCTTCATACCTCCCTCTCTCTCTCCATTATTTCCTTCCCCCTCCCTCCTTCCCTCCATTCTTTCTTTCTTCTTCCTTTCTTCCTCTCCTCCCTTCCTTCTTCCCTCCCTCCCTTCTTCCCTCTCTTCCTCCCTCCCTCCCTCCCACTTTCCCGTCCTTCTTTCCTCTCACTCTTTCTCTCCCTTCCTCGCCTTCCTTCCTTCCTTCCTTCCTTCCTTCCTTCCTTCCTTCCTTCTCTCTTCTTTTTCTTGTCTCCTCTCTGTATACCTGTAACTGTCCATCTCTCTTTTGTGCTAACTCAAAAGCACTTAAACAAGAGCTTGACAGGCCCCATTTGTCCACCCTGTCTCGGGAACCAGACAGAATTGGGTGGAAGACTATGATCTCTTTGCAATGACTGGTGTTGGCCTTGGAGTCAGGAAGACCTGAGTTCAAATCCTACCTCTGACATTTACTAGTTGTGTGACCCTGGGCAAGTCAGTTTACCTCTTTAAGACTTAGTTTGTTCACTTGTTAAAAAAAAAATGGGGAGTGGAAGAAGGCTTCAGGGATATCTGCCAGCCCTATTGTGAGGTTCCTGTGAGATGACAGCTCAGCTTTGTAAGCCTTCAAGGGCTCTAGGAATGTCAGTCCCTATTACTAGTCTTGATGTTTTTACTAGTGATGAAGTTATGATCACGCTCAGACAACTCTAGAGGACTGATGTCTACCTGGTGGATTATGGGCCAGCTCGGACCCTGACTTTTTGAGGGATCAAGAAAGCAGGGCCCAGGGCAGCTAGGTGGCATAGTGGAAAGGGGCAACTAGGTGGCGCAGTGGACAGAGCACCAGCCCTGGATTCAGGAGGACCTGAGTTCAAATCCGGCTTCAGACACATAACACTTACTAGCTATGTGACCTTAGGCAAGTCACTTAACCCCATTGCCTGTCCTAAAAAAAAAAAAAGAAAGAAAGCAGGGCCCAGCCACCATTAGAAACTGCCTTCCCTGGTGGAGTTGGCATCCCAAGACTTTAACCAGCCTGATGAATGAATGCTATCCTAGCCCAGTCCCTCAAACACTCCCTTTTTGAGTCATACATAACCTCAGGTTCTTAGGGTCATACACTCTTGGAGCTAAAGGAATCTCTGTTCCTCATTTCACCCATTGGGCAACTGAGGCCCAGAGAAGGGGATTGGCTTGCCCAAGGCCAACCAGGTGGTAAAGCTCGAGTAGCCCCACACCCCTTGATTCATCAGCACCCGAAGCCGGTGCTCCCATCATTCCCCCTACCAAACTTCCTCTTAGCCTCCAGGATGCCACAGGTGTGAGGCAGCACAGGAAGGCTGCGCTTTATTCAGGGTGTCAGGACATCTGAGCCTGGCTCATCTGTGTCCTCCAGCAAGTGATCCTACTGCTCTGAGTCATCTCCCCCAGCTGTACGATGGAGGCGTGGCGCCAGCAGCCTTCCCAAACGCCCAGAGCACAGAATGTCCGGAAGGGAGAGGTTGAGCAGGATGACTGGATGGAACTCTATTCTGTTCAGCAGAACGCCCCCCCCTTCTGGACGTCTGTTCTCTGTCCCCTTCAGCTGCCACCCTACACATACATAACCTATAGCAACAGCCTCCTGCTTGGTCCTGTGCCTCACATTCCTCCCCACTCCAATCCATCCTCCATTCAGCCACAAATGTGATTTTCCTAAAGCACAGGTTGAACTATGTTACCTCCCTACTTGATTAACTCCAGGGCTTCTTGTTACTTCCAGAATCAAATGTCAGATCCTCTTTTTAGCTTCTAAGTCATTCACCACCTGGCCCTTTCCTACCTTTCCAGCTATGTGGGCAGGGTGCTGGGGTCACAGACTTGGGGGTAGAATAGCACACATTAAGCCTGCCCGGGAAGGCTGATTCTGAAGGGCTTTGAAAGCAGAGTAGTTAATATCGTATCCAAGGCCACAGGAGCCTCCCCATGAGCCTGAGCGGGGCGTGAGCAGAGCAGCACTTCAAGAATATCCATTTGTTAGATGGTGGAGAATAAATTGGAGAGAATCTGAGCTGGGAGGGAGCTCGGGGACTGTCTAGTCCAGGGGTGGGAACCTGCAGCCTCCAGGCCACATGTGGCCCTCTAGGTCCTCGATGTAGCCCTTTGGCTGAATCCAAACTTCACAGAACAATCCCTTTAATAAAAGGATAAACTTATAAAACTTGGACTCAGCCAAAAGGCCGCACCCAAAGGTCTAGAAGGCCACATGTGGCCTTGAGGCCCATAGAGACAAGGTGACTTATCCAAGGGCACAGAATAAGTGCTAATAAGTGGCAAAAACATAATTTGAACTTGAGTGCCCCCAAATCCAAATCCATAATGTAAGATTTTTGTTCTCTTTCTTTCCACTACATCACACAGACAGATTGGATGCATGAGTGTACAGACCTTTCCCTCGGGATGTTCAGAATCTAGTCACTTACACAGGGCTGAGTGTTGGAACGTGTGTTGTTTTTACAAGTCTATTTTGTGATAGATAAGAGGGGAGCACCTACAAGATTGAATGTGCCATTTAAATCTTTTTTTTAATTTGAGGTCTATTTCAAATGGCCTAAGAGAGCTTGGTCTATTAAAAAAAAAAAGACAGTGAAACCTTTTTTCTCGAGTCCAGAATCCTTTCAGAAATAACCTTCCTTCCCCCCCATACTGCAACGCTGGATTTTGACCTCCCAAGATTTCTTGAAGGTTTGTGTGTGGTGCTCTTTATCACTCAGTGACAGTGTACCCCTTCATGATCAAAGTCGGGGCAGCTTTGCCAGTGTGGAACCCTGCCTGCGCCAGATCAGAGCCGACCCCTCCAAAAACAGCAGCTGACTCCCTGCTTCCCTCACCCAGCTTCGACCCTCCTTCTTCCCTCCCTCTTCTGCCAGAAATAAAATAATGATTTTCTTCCACTTGCCTTGACCAGAATGTTTTCTATATTGGTATCTTAGAAATTCTTTTTTTTTTTGGGGGGGGGAAGGAGGAAGGAAGGCAGAGTAGTGAAGGACAACCAACACAGAGTGACATGGTCAAAGGCTTACGGGCAGCAGGGACCCTATTGCACATTTAGTTTGACCCCTCTCTTTTTATAGACAAGGAAACTGGCCCCAGGAGTGGATTAACTTGCCCAGGGCCACGTGGGTAATAATTAGCAAAGCCAGGATTTGAACCCAGCTCCTCTGACTCCAAATTCAACATTTTTTCTATCGTTCCATGCCTTGTCATTTGTCCCAGGCCTGAGGAAGAGTTTTATACCTCCATATCCAGAGTTTCCCCTGTCCTATAAATCAGGTCCTGAATGGATAGAAGAAAGAATCCATGTCACTGGCTATTCCCTCCAATGAGGAGCCCCAGCTCTGAGTTCAGGAAGACCAGATGCAGCCTTGGGGAGCCTGGCCCCTCAAAAGGGAGAGCTGAACTTTCTTCTCATTCTAAAGCTCATTGATCCCACCCTGGAGTTAGGGGAAACATCTCTACTATTCATGTAGTAGATGTGGCTCATGTCTAGGGTCTTTTCCAAAAAAAATTAATAGGATCCCTTCTAGGAAGGGGACTCGGTGTACAAAGTAGTTTTCAGGCGTGGAGAAGATAGCTGTTTATTTATCCACCACCAAAAGAAATGTTCAAAGCACAAAACACTCAAAATTGTGCATTAACAAGTACTTACAGCATGAAATAAAAAGTCATCACCCTATCATAGCTGCCTGCCCTCCCCACTGTCAGGAGGGACAGGCAACTTTGGAGGAATTGTTAAATGGACATCTCAATGAGCTTTATCAATCCTTTCAACATCAACTTCCTCCTAGAAGTGATCACATTCTCTCTGACAAGTCCTTGTGGAAATTCTTTCCTGCTGAGCATCTATCACACCAACCTCTCAAAGTCAGCAGGTTACCATCAGGGCTGGAAATATCCCTTTCTCACAGTTGATGATCAGTGACCCGAGCTCAAGAAAAACACAGCAGAAGGGATGTTGAGGTCTGCTCTCAAGCTCACCGAGGCATATTGTTGCTGCCATCTATGTGAAGCCACCAAGAGATGCTGTTGTGGGGCGAGAGAGGAAAGAAATCCACTTTTCCCCCCTTATTGGAGGTCCAAGGGGAAGCTGGCAATGGTGGTGTTCTAACAGAGGTTATCTCAGAAAGAGATTTTTTTCAATTTTTTTTTTGTTTTAATAGCTCTTACATCAAATTTGGTGAGCATCTCCTCCTAGCTTGGTCACCAATCATTTTTGACACAGCCTCCAATCACAGGAACATGCAGGGATTAAGCAGGACCCGGCAGTCGTGTATGTCCCTTCAGCAAGAGGCCAGAGCTTGTGTCCACACCCACAGACCCAGGGCCCAAGCTGTGGTTCCCACAGAACCGTGAGATTCTTCCCTTTTCTCATTACTGTCTTGTTCCTCTTCCTTATTAAGTGACCCATCGATGGGGCTTCCGTTCACACCCGCCTCTGAGCCACTCGGGTGTCCTGTTTTGGGTTGAGTAACTGCCCTCTGAGGTGAACTGTTCCTTTCCTTCCAGGTGTCTGGCCTTTTCCGAGTAGAGGGCAGTTATGAAACCCGCTCCCCGGATTCTCTCACCCTGGAGGATGGTGACTTGGTGCAGTTTGTACAGGAGGGAGAAAATGGACAGTGGTGAGTATGGAGACATGAAAGGTGATGAGGAGGAGGAAGAGGGCGAGCATATATTTTTTTTAATTCTCTGATTCCCTAATTTCTTTTTGGCATTTCAGGTTAGTAAAGAAATTGGTTTCTGAGAAAAGTGACTGGGTGCCCTCCAGTCTTCTGCATCCTGCAGGTATAGATGGTGACCAGGTTTACAAAAATAGTAACATAGGTAAGTACCGGGCAGGAAGCAGGATGCAGCGCATAAGGTGGTCAACATGCCTCAGGAGAGACCCAAGTTTGAATTCCATCTCCCACACTTACTAGCTATACGACCTTGGCCAAACCAATTTAACCTATCTGAGCCTCCATTTTGCCATCTGTAAAATGGGGATAATAAGGAAAGAAATAAGCACTTATTAAGCACCTACTATGTGCCAGGCACTGTGTTAAGCACTTTGCAACCATTATGTCATTTGGTTTTCACAATAACCCCATTTTACAGTTGAGGAAACTGAGGCAAACAGCCATTAAGTGACTTGTCCAGGGCCACACAGCTAGTCTGAGGCTAGATATGAAGTCGGATCTTCCTGAATCTGGGCCCAGTGCTCTACCCACTGTTCCACCTAGCTGCCCTGGATGACAGTATCTTGGATTATGTGCCTCACCGGGTGATTTTCAGGGGATCGGATGAGACAACGTACATCGTATGAGGTACATAATGGGATAGTGCACGTAAGGGCTCTTTGGAGCTCTTAAAGCGTCAACGTAAAGCCTGCTGTTATTATTTTGGGCGAGTGAATGAAAAAGTATTCTCAAGCTCGTACTGTGTATTTAATGAGCGGTGATAATATGTATAGAGCAGGGGTCATCGGGTGAGGGCGTTCCAGCCTGGGAAGACAGTCACCGTGGGATTGAAGGGCCTACTGTGTGCCTTGTCTTAGGGACACAGAGACAGTGAGATGGTCTCTGCCCTCAAGGAGAGATGGCGGGATCTTGGATCTAGAGCCGGGGAGGAGCTTCGAGCTCACCTAGCCCAACCCCGTCATTTTGCAGATGAGGAAGGGGAGGCTCAAGTGAAGTGACTTGTTCAAGGTCACAGAGCTGGGAAGCGTCCCAGGCAGGATTCAAACCCGGATCTTACTCCTGAACCATTTTTCCGTCCACTGTCCCTCACTGTCTCTCAGCCTACACATACACGCCCACACGTGGTTGTAATTACACATGTGGGCACACACATACACACATATATGGTTATAATTACACACACGGTTATAAGTACACGTGTGGGCGCACGCACACATATATACATATGTGGTTATAGCTACATGCATGCACATGTGTGGTTGTAATTACATGCACACACACATATGTACACATATATATGGTTATAATTACACACCCGCACGCACATATACTCTTTAAGCTCAGAAGTTTGAGCTCACTGGGAGATCTCATTTGGAGATCAATGCTGCTATGGTTCTACCACATTTCATGGAGAACAGAGACAGAACTTTTCAGTTAAATACAGACTCAGGAAGGGAAAGAGTGCCATAAAAAACCCCTGTATCCCCAAAGCCCTTGTATGTAATAGGTGCTTAATACATGTTTCTTGAATTTGAACACGTTGCCAGATCAAATCGATCACCTGACTTCAAGCAGTGTTTCTTTAAGCTAATGCAAACAGATTAGAGATTTGGTCCTGTCTTTATGTTGAATCCTAGAATTCAACTAGTTTTAGTTAGAACTGAAAAGGGCCTCAGTAATTATCTAATCTAACCCCCTCATTTGACAAATCAACTGATGAACATTTATTAAGCACCTCCTGTGTTCTGTGTTCTGGGGTTGGGAACGGAACCTGTCGTTTGCTTGCTTCATGGGAACTCCCAGATGAGGAAATTCCCTCCTCCACTGCAGAGCCCTACCTCTTGGCAGCATACAGTCCGAAGTAATTGACTGGAGGGCTCGGGTTCGATGACTTGCCTGGGATTATACATCCAGGATGTGGTAGAAGCAGGATTTGAATCTGGGTCTTCCAAGGTCAGCTTTGCTGTAGTGTTGGACATTTTGTATTAAAAGCAAGAGTGAAGCAAGTCCCTGCTTTCAAGGAAGTTATGTTCTAGCAAGGGAAACAACATGTATGTATGTATTCAGGTATATGCAAAACATAAATGGATGGTAATTGGCTTGTAGACACTCAGAAAGGCCAGTCACTTAGTCAAGAAGCATTTATTAAGTGCCAGGAACTGGGCTAAGCCCTAGGGATACAAATAGAGGCAAACGACAGTGCCTGCCCTCAAGGAGCTCACAATCTAGTGGAAGAGACAACAAGTGAGTGCAAACGAGCTATGGACAGGATAAATAGGAAAAATTAAGAGATATGAGGCACTGGAACTTAGAGACATTGGGAAAGGCTTCCTGGAGAGGATGGAATTTGAGTGAGGACTTCTAGGAAGTCAAGAGGTGGCAATGAGGAGGGAGAGTACATGGGGGACAGCCAGGGAAAATGCCCACAGCTGAGAGATGGAGTGTCTGAGATGGTATTTGTAAAAAAAAAATGTTTAGCACAGTGCCTGGCACGTAGTAGATACCATATTAACTTCTTATTCCCTTGTTCATGTTCGTGTTCACCGGCAAGGGAAGCAGCATCACTGGCAGTCAAAGGACTAGCTGAAGGTTGTATGCCACACAACCCCCAGAGATGAGTCCCTGCCATATCCACCCTCCCGCCTGAGGGTCCACCTGTCGCCCAGCAGTGCGGAAACACTGGCCCTTCCCAGCCAGCAGCTTCAATGGTCAAACTCTCCAAATGTCATTCAGTAATGGAGGATCCTTTATACTGGGAGCTCTTAACCTTTTTTTGTGTGTTATGGACCTCTTTGGAAGTCTAGTGTTGGCTGCAGACCCCTTCTCAGAGTAATGGTTTTGTATGTATAAAGCAAAATATATAGATTTCCAAAGGAAACCCATCACATTAAAATGAATTCTTTTGTTTTTTTCCCATCCAAATTCGTGAGCCCTTTTGTGAACTCTTTCAGATAATCACTTAATGCGTCAGATGACTCCAGGCTAAGGACTCCTGCTTCCTTAGGTTTATCCTTTGACTGGTAGCACAAAGTGATCCCTTCAGGGACTAGGGATTTATCACATGCTGGGAAGATCACTCCATATACATTACCCTTGCCAAGAGAACGTCAGCTCCTGGAGAGTAGGCACAGCTTAATGTTCTGTCTTGGTATCACCAGTGCCTAGCCCTGTGTCTGGCACACCATAGGCGCTTAAAAAAATAAAAAATGCTTGCTGGTTGATTGACTGTTGAAGCTGAGTGGCCCTCTAGCTGGTGCCCTCCACACCCCCAGTGCAAAATCTTCTGGGCCTTTAGAAGAGCCTTTAAGGTTTCCCACCCACATAATAATAAAAATAATGGTGCTAATGATAATAATAACAATCACAAGAATAGCTCTCATTTACTAGATCTCACATGTCCTTGTGTTGCAGAAACATATCCCAATTCCCATGACCCAGGGATAACAGACTCAGAGAGGAAGGAGACCAATCTTGTGCAAAGACTTCCAGCTGCCCAGAAGGCTGAGAGCTGAGCCTGCCTGCCCCTTGGCCTGCTCAGGCTGCCTCCTCCATCCATCTCTTACCTTTGGTTTTGCTTTGGACATTTTATTGCCCTTCCCCTCACCTCACTCCCATCCCTTTTCCCTGGACACTGGATCTGCCTGGACTTCTGGAAAACTCCAGACTCCCAGATCGACTGGAATCACTCCATCTGGTCAATAAGTAGAAGCAAAGGAAGTCTTTTTCAGGATTCAAGATGAAAACAAAGGCCTCCAGTTATTAATGGAACTATTCAAGGATATTGGCCTGAATTTGGCCTGTCACCAGTGATGTGGTAGCCAGGGCCTGGCTGTTTGGCGAAACCTCTGGGATCAAATCAGTGGGGACTGATCATTGCCCTTGGGAGCACCCCTTCTCCTCACCCCGAGTTTCAATGATGTCCCATCTTCTGTTATGATTTCTCACCAAAGGTGTTCCTGAGAAGGAGGAAGGGGCTGCACAGGACAGGGCCTGCTCCGGGAAGGTGAGCCAGGCGCAGGTGTTGACAGAGAGGGAGAACGGAGTACTCACTGTTGAGATCACCTGCCCAGTGAGGCTGGTTGCCCTCTGGCTCACTGCAGGGAAAGGGGAGGTGATTTGGACAGCAACTGGACCTTTCGTTACCCTGGCACCAAAGCTCATCCAGGATGACCATTAGCAATGAGGCCAGTGACCCTGCTCATACTTGAGGCTAGACCAGGTTTACATTTGGGGCCTTTCAGTGTTTCCGCTTAGGAGAGGCTGGCCGCTAGTTATTGTAGTCGTCACTATCGCCCAGCAATGTCAGGGCACAGTCTACCCTTGCACTCACTCACCTGTTACTAAAGTGTGGGGGAATGAAAAGAGAGGAAGCTCATCCGATAGGAATGTATCCCATCCTCATTTTTGTGCCCTCGATCTGGAGGGGGCAGATAGACTATAGATCCCAAGCTGCTATTCTTCTACCTGGAACAAGCCTCGTGGTGCTAGGGACTCGGGAAGATCATGTGCCCCTGTATCTAGGAGAGGAAGACTTCAGCTCTGATGGTCATCATAGAAAATGACGTGTAATTTACAGGAAACCTGCCTGGAAGGTGTGATGCAACGAAAAGAGGTAGATGGAAGGAAGGGAAGTAATTCCGGGAAGGATTTTAAAGGTCTCCTAATAGACATTTTCTACCCATTCTTCCCCTCTCCCTCCCCAGTAGCCCTCCCTCTGCACTTCAATAAGGTTCCATCCACTGCTCTCACAGGGAGATGGATGGACCCCATAGGGCAGGCAGGGATTTGGGGAAGAGGCAGGGTGACCCTTTGTTATCCCAAAGAAAGCATCCTCACCTGTGATCACACCAGCCTTACCTGGCTCCAGCTCAGAGATGCTAGAATTAGGCTTAGTAAGAAATCATTCACAGGCTGTATTCACAGTGAGCCCAGGAGGGGGAAAAGAGCCCTGAGCTAGTGAAGCAGAAACTGATGGCAAACTTGTTGATTTCCTGATTTCCTGCCTTGGAGAACGATCAGGAATTGCTTTTTTTTATCCCAACTAGGCTCACAGACCCTCAACAAGAAATTAGAGGGCACACCCAGCTCCATGGGAGATGCCCCAATATGGCAAGTCAGATGGTCCTCCAATCTCCTGGCTATATTTGGCAAGCCAATATTGCTCCTCTGCTGTCATGGGCCAAACACAGGCATCCCCACATTGCCCTTGACCCAACTGTTGGTATCTGTTTTCTATCCAGCTCAGCTCTCCAATATAGTTTAATGATCCTATGATGCCACTCTCATATATTTGTGGTCATCATAGTGGTGGTGGCAGTACCCTCCTCCAGCTTAGTAACCAGTGACTCCAACCACCTCTTTCCAGTCCCATGGTATACACCCCAATGTGACCCTAACCAAAATTCGGTCTCTCAGAGCAGACAATTTTGCTACCTGAATTTGTAAAGCCCCAGAATTTTGGGGAGGCTGTAAATTGAGTCACATTTGTTTATGAACACTCAAACACACAGAGACACAGGGACAATTTATCAGTTGTCTTTGTGGGCTTGCATTGACCCGTGTTCATTCTCTTCTTGGGGAGCTGAGCAGAATTCTTCCCAAGTATAAGCAGATGTATTTGCCCTATAGAACAGTATAAGGTGAGAATTTACTAAAGCTGAATCGAAGTACCAGTTTCATGCTCTAATCATTTGAGAAAGGAAATAGCCATGTGAGGGAAAGGCTCTGGGGAATAATGAGAGGCTAGTTGGGGGGTGCCTGCAAGGATGCCCAGACACTCCCTTTGATCTATTCCTCCCATATGTGGCTTAGGGAATTATTGGTTCTTTCGAGACCCATAGTCCCCCATGCCAAAAGCTGCACTTTCTATTTGATGAGTGTAAAGGCCAAAAAATGTTCCTTCCCTCCCCTGAGTCCTCCTGGGTATCCTAAGAGGGTATGCTCCAACCTCCAGGCCACAGTCACCTCCCTGACCTGGATGGGTTTTTCCCATTCATCTTCACTTCTCTCACTCGCTGCTGGGAGGACCTTAGAACCACTTGAAGTAGGGTGAGGGGAGGGAGGCTTCCTTTCCTTTTTTTCTAGAGGACTCATCCTGCTTTTTTTCCCCAAGATCTTTTCAGCTAAATGGAATGCCTGGCTGTCCACCACTTCTCTTGAATCCCCAAGATTTATGAAAATAGTTGGCCCAATCTGAAAAGACTTTAAAGAAATATGTCCAATATTTATGACTGTAGATGTTTTCTCTCCCTCCTGTATCGCTGAATGTTCTGTGTGATTCTACTGGGATTCTCTCTGTAACTAGTACTTAATCTCAACACCCCTTAGTGCATGCATCTTCCTGGTGGTGGCGTTCACGGCCCCTCCTTACCCATTATTACTGAAACTGCAGGTCTGTAATTTTCATTTTTCAAAATCAGTCCTTTTCTGCAAACCCAACATATTTTTCAGCCTCAGTTTCCCTATCTCAGCGGATTTCTGGACTTTGACTCTCCTGCTTTGTCATTCCTTCAACGATCCTAAGCTTTCCACCTTCTATAATGGTGTGTTGGGTTCTTTGTTTGTTTATTTGTTTTTTAATGCAGATTGGCAGGAAACATTTTGTTTGTTACCAGAAGGGACAAAAGCTGTCAAGGCTCTGTGTCTCTGCAGGGCTGTTGTGTATCAGGCTTCAGAAAATGTGGAGAGAGGTGGAAGGGGGTGCTGCGGGGTGGGGGGAGGGCGGAGCCAGTCCTCATGGGCCCATATCCAGGGTAGATTGCTCACATTTCAGAAGAAAACCTTCATTTTCATACTCCCATTCCCTCCTTTCTAGCCATGTGTAAGGGCAATTATTTTCTCTTTGGCACGAAGAATGCCTTCAGATAACAAGGAGGTCTTCAAGGACCTCCACGGAATGATGATATTAGATTGGGGTGGGGGGAAGCTGGGAAGGTTAGTAATTATTAGATAAAGAATCTGGGTGCTGCTCTGTTCCATGTCATTATGTTCACCTTTGCCAGGACAATCTTTTCTGCAGTGTGTTATTTTCCGGTAAACAGGGAATTATTAACTAGTGCATTACAATCCACACACTGTGCGAACTGGCATCATGAAATGCCAGGTGAGATGGCTCCTCTGGAAGCTACCCCACAGCCAAACCCACGGGCCTTCTTCCACCACTGGCCAGCAGGCTCGGCCACTTTGCACTCTGCCCACGAGCAAGAGAAGAGTCACTTTAGCAGCTAAGCTTTGTTCTAAAATGCTCTGAGGTTTGGAACAGGTCCTGACCGAGAAGGATCAAGGCTTCCGCCCTTTCTGAGTCCGTCGGCCAAAGCGTGAGGTTGTCAGAGGGACAATTGAGGACTCCGAGGATCTGTGGGCGGTGTGTAGATGTCTGCCTCCCGTTAGTTAGAAACCATCTCACCCTGAAGGCTCGTCTGAACCACTGGCACTTGCAACAGTTGGCGATTCTTATGGGTTTTTTGTTTTCCTTGTTGAAAGATGAAGTTATTTCTATATTGTTATTGGGAAGAGGATTGATCAGACAGGGGCCAGAGCACGGAATTCTGCTGTTAAGTTGTCTGATTGTTTGGGCTGAATTTGATTTGTTTGGGGTTTGTTTCAAGTTTGGATTTGGGGCTTTTTTTTTTCTTGGCCAGAATTGAATGTATGAGTTTATACCTTAAAAAAAAAATGTGTGAAGCCAATTTTTCTGTAAATATGCCATGATGTAGGACAATGCTTTGTTTGGACTTTATAAAAATTATACCTCCAGTAATTCAAAAGCCTCTGTGCGTTTTTTTTAAATTGTGAAGATGCCAACATCGGATGTGACTAAGGCAGGTGCACGCTTCTGAGGAGCTCACTTTCCCCGTTCCCCATCTGCTTTCTCCATTCCCACAATGGGGAAGAAGAATCCGACGGAAGAGAACCTGAAGAAAGAGGTCAGCTAAGACCACTAATAGTGCAGGTCTCTAACATCCCCTCTGGGCCTCCCTGTGACTAGGACAACCCTTTGACTAGTCTCTTGCAAATTCCTCCGAAGGCGTGGTCAGTGCAAACTTCTCCCACAAGTAAGAAGGGGCCAGATGGTGAAGGGTTTTACAAGCTCAACAGAGGATTTCATATTTGATCCTAGAGGTAATAGGAAACCAGTGTAGAGCTGGAGAGGACATCAGAAGCCATCCCCAATTGCCTCATTTTATAGATGAGAAAATAGGCTGAGAGAAGATAAGACGTTTCTCAAAAAGTTTCTTCATAAAACTGGATAAAATCTTAACAAAACACATGAGAAAACAAATGACCAAGACTCTCCAGGGTCCTGGAGGTGGGGTGCGGTCTCATGATGGGAAGGGGGTGGACAGCTGATAAAAAGTTTGCATTTCTAGACTTTAAAACATTTACTAAAGTGGTTATCACCAAAGCAGAAAGCCAGCACAGTATACTGGATAGTGAGCTAGCCTTGACATCAGGTTGCCGAAGAGAGGTGAACTGACTCAGGTTGGAAGTAGAGCAGGTCAAAGCTTCCGTGTCTACCAGTAGTGAGGTTGGGTCCGTGAGTAGCCCCTGAATTTCTAAACTGGGTGAGAAAAGGAGACTCAGTCCTTAAAAAAAATCTAGAGGAAAGAACGGAGGAAGAAGGAAGGAAGGAAGGAAGGAAGGAGGGAAGGAAGGAAGGGAGGGAGGGAGGGAGGAGGAAGGAAGGAAGGAAGGAAGGAAGGAAGGAAGGAAGGAAGGAAGAGAGAGAAGGAAGGAGGGAAGGAAGGAGGGAAGGAGGAAAGGAGGGAAGGAAGGAAGGAGGGAAAAAAAGGAAAGGAAGGAAAGAAAGGAAAGGAAGGAAGGGAGGAAGGAAGGGAGGGAGGGAGGAAGGGAGGGAGGAAGGAAGGAAGGAAGGAAGGAAGGAAGGAAGGAAGGAAGGAAGGAAGGAAGGAAGGAAGGAAGGAAGGAGGGAAGGAGGAAAGGAGGGAAGGAAGGAAGGAGGGAAAAAAAGGAAAGGAAGGAAAGAAAGGAAAGGAAGGAAGGGAGGAAGGAAGGGAGGGAGGGAGGAAGGGAGGGAGGAAGGAAGGGAGGGAGGGAGGGAGGGAGGAAGGAAGGAAGGAAGGAAGGAAGGAAGGAAGGAAGGAAGGAAGGAAGGAAGGAAGGAAGGAAGGAAGGAAAGGGAGGGAGGGAGGGAGGGAGGAAGGAAGGAAGGAAAGGAGGAGGGAGGGAGGAAGGAAGGAAGGAAGGAAGGAAGGGAGGAAGGGAGGGATAGAGGGGAAAGGAAGGAAAGGAATGAAGGAAGGAAAGAAGGAGGAAAAGGAAAGGAGGAGAGAGGGAGGGAGGGAGAGGGGAAATTAGCTATAAAAATAGACAAACTCGATTAATACTGCTTATAATAGATACTGATTTTTATGTCATGACTCATGATCCAAACACTGGCAACCATAATACAGCATTTTCACAGTGATTGATTTCCATTAGTGACAGTAGAGCCACGACAGTACGTCCCCGACGCCTCGGTCCCCAGTGTGAAGGTAATTGAGATGGCACTCAGGCCAAGGACCCTCAGAGGTGACCCAGCCATTGCTAAAATATAGAAGGTGTAACTCCTAAGATATGTCAGGGAGGGGAAGAGACCAAAAGAGCGGGGAAGTCTTGAGCACGATCACTTCGATCCTTTGATGGGTCTGGGATGCCATGCATGTGGCTCCCAAGCCAGGCCTTCCTTCTCTTCCTGCCATTATTCTGTCCGTGTACTCCTCTGGTTCCTTTCACTGGATCATAGGTTTCACACTCAAGGCCAGAGTGCATCAGCCTGCAAAACTCCCACAGACTGATCCAACCAGATTAAAATGTAATTGGGAAATGCTTAATAAAATAAATAAAAATACAATACAACATCTATGATAGTGATCTGTGGTTTTCTAAGTCAACATGTGGCCACAGGAATCCAATGTTATCTATGTTTTGTTATATTTCTCTTTATTTTGTTAAATATGCCTCACTGACATTTTAATCTGGTTCCCGCACTTATGTTTAATACCTCTTTTCTTAAACTACCTGTCAGGTAAATATTTAGCAACCAGCTTGGGGAAAAAAATTTAAATTTAATCTGCATCATTAACATTTTCTCTATCACTTCTGAAGTCTAGACAATTAACAAAACAATAAATCAAGCCCTGATTTTTTGTGTTTGCCAATTTCTGAGGTGCAAATGCTCACACTGAACATTTAATGATGGGCTCCCTCCAGTCAGTTCAAGTTGGCTCCAGCAAACCCCTCGGTGTACTTTTTCATTGGTAAACATATGTAGCTTTATTACCCCTCACCAAATACCTTTCCTTTGCTTCTGGTGTGGTCTGTAATCTTACTTCTTCAGAATCTTTGCCCTTCTATGATATCATTTTCTAGAAAAGACAACTGAAAAACATCAGTTACTATATGCCTACTTTCTCATAGTTATAAAATCTGTGTGACGATGACATACACATGTATCAGGGGCATCCTTAATGAAAATATAATAAGGAATTTTAAATAAGGCTTTTTTTTTGTTTTGGCAATTGGGGTTAAGTGACTTGTCCAGGGTCACACAGCTAGTAAGTGTCAAGTGTTTGGTCTGAGGCTGGATTTGAACTCAGGTCCTCCTGACTTCAGGGCCAGTGCTCTATCCACTGAACCACCTGGCTGCCCCTAAGTAAGGCTTTTAAAATGATTGTGAGTGGATATGTGGCAAAGAGCTGATCTCAGAGCCAGAAATATCTGGGCTCAAGTCCAGATCCTGACCTATACTGACTGCATGACCATGGACAAGTCATTTAACTTCTTGGGGCTCTAGGCAACTTTATAGCAAACTGCAGAGAAAGTGCCAACATGTACCAGAAAAGTGAATTTCCTCACCTGGGAGATCTCTATACCAATGAAATCCCAATCTTATCCCTATCTCAATAGCACCCACATCTTTGCAATCATACAGTTGATAGAATAGTGTGGACTTCAAACTCTGTCTTGTGTTTACTGTTTCTTGATTAGAAACCTATGATCCTATGATCTGGGTCTGAGACCCAGCTCTTCCAGTTGCTACCTGTATGACCTTGGACATGTCACCTTCATCTCCTCTGGATCTCAGTTTCTCGATGGCAAAATGAGGGAGTAGAAATAGTTGTAATCTAAGATTCCTCCCAACTTTAGATCTATGACATAATAATAATGATAACTTACATTTATAGAGCACTTTAATGTTTGCAAGGTACCTTACAAATATCTTATTTTATCCTCACAACAATCCTGTGAGGTAGGTGTTATTATTACCTTCATTTTTACAAATGAGAAAACTGAAGTCAGTGATTTATTCAGAGTCCCTGAGCTAATCAGTGTCTAAGGAAGGATATGAACCTAGCTCTTCCTGCTGCTAAGTGCAAGGCTCTATCCACTCAGGCACAATGCCTTCCAAGATTTCTATCATGAAGGGATTGGACTTCATGGCCTTTAACATCCCTTCCAGCTCCAAATCTGTGATCTCAGAGAGTCGTGCATAGATAGAGTGTTTGACCTCAAGTCAAGTAAGACCTGAATTTAAATCCAGCCTTGGGCACTTACTAGCTGTGTGACTCTGGGCAACTCAGTTAACCTTTGTACCTCAGTTTTGTCAGCTGTAAAATGGAGATAATAATAGCACCTACCTCGCAGTTGTGAAGCTCAAATGAGATATTTATAAAGTGCTTAGCACAGTGGTACATAGCTGCTGATTAATAAATGCTGTTTCCTTCTTTTCCCCTGTGGCCCTGGTTTGTACAATTCTATATATTATGCAGTGCCTTACTTACAGTTAGGCCACAAACATTTTGTTGAAAGAATACAGTGACGGACGTAAAGAGAGAAGAAACAAACATTTAGGATGCCGGTTACATTGTGGAACTTGTCTCTGTATCTTAGTAACCTCTAGCTCTGTGGTCCTCTGTAATGTCACCTATGTGCCACTAGAGGGCCCCAGATGTCAGCTCTGATGCAGAAGAATACGCTTGTATTCCTACCTAGACTGGCATTTGGCAGACATCAGCCCAGCAGAAGGTCCTATCCGTGCCCTAGCAAAAGTGTCCTGCTTGGCATGATGAGCCAGAGCTCAGTCCTGGATCTCAGGAGCTGTAGGAGGTGGGACATCCAGAAAGATTTTAAAAATCAGCCTCTCTGTATGAAACACCAAGGACACCCCTAGAAGGGGGTGGAGGGGACAACCGAGAAAGAATCAGCTACCAGGCCTGGAATGCCAGCTTCTGGCCTTGCTTTCCAGAGGAGCTTTCTAAAATGGTTGATGAGGCTATGCAATGAGGCAGACGTGGACTGGGTCAACAACACTCACCCACACGAGCTCTTTGGCTGGGCATCTGTCCTGCCCATGAAGCTCTCACTGACAACATTGGGGCTTTTGCCAACCTTCGCACAAAAAGGACCATCTGTATCCCTGTGTTTATAAACTAGGTGGGGAGCCCCTTACAACTCTCTAAAAATGCTGGTGCTAATTAAAAGGCCAACTTCAAAATAGACTATTTAGTTCTTCCATTAGGTTCTATTTTTGAAAAAAATATATTTTAAATTTGTTATGATGGTCTAATTCCAATTACTATATATTTAAAATAAGTATATTGGTCAAGCGTTACAATCTTATTTAAGAAAGTAAAAATCCTCATATTATTCAATTAAAGAAAAGCTGAACCACTTGAAGTAATGGAGTATGATGAAAAGAGGGCAGGATTTAGAGTCAGAGGCCCTGGGTTTGAATCCCAGTTCTGCCACTGTGGCCAT